TAACTGGAAGAACAATCGGATAAAATGGCCGATATCTGGCCCATTGAAAACATCTGGAGTTATATTGAACAAAAATTAGGAGGAGAAAAAATTGAAAGTTTAACAATCTTGGAAAAGAAATGGTAAAAATTTGGAGAACTGTTAGTCCACAAATGTGTCCAAAATTGATATACTCAATACCAAGAAGTTTACTGTGTTTAATTGATAAAGATGGTTATCCAATCAACAAAAGATCTATGATGACATGAAAATGTAAAATAATCTATTGTCGGTTATTGTATAAATAGTGAAAGTGAATTATTTTAGATGTTTCTTATGAATAAATTTTTTAAAACTTTTTTTGGACATGAGAAAAAAATCTGCTCTACCACACGACTCTATATATTTTCCATATAATAAGAACTAGAGGTCTGAAAATTTCGAGTAATATTCGTTTAGTTACAAGGAATTAGACATCCAATTTTGAGTATTATCGGATTTGTAATAAGGGAGAACGAGTAATTTTTCTTAGAAAGAAGAAGACTTTTGAATCACCCTTTAGCTGAAGTTACATCCAAACTTCCATATAATATCACACAGCCAACAAATATCCTCTCAATATATATATATCTATGTATCAATAATTACGATCAATCTCAATTTTCTCTCTCTCCAAACTGTACTTGTATATATAATTCCTCATTTCAAAGTCTAACTCCTTGTTTCTATGTCTGATCTCTCATTTCTGCATCTAATCCCTTATTTCTATGCTCAATATATTATTCCTTCATCTAATCCCTTATTTGTATACTTAAATCCGATATCGATGCCTAAGCCGTAATCTCTATATGTTATCTGGTATATGAATGTCCAGTCTATTATTTATATGCGTAACCCATTTTCTTCATGCCTTTCTTATATAACTATGCCTCATATCCTGTTTATGTGTGTATCGATCTATCCTTATAGGCATGTCTTATACATCTGCTAATATTGCTAAATCTACATGTATGCCACCATTCCTTTATGTTCATTATTTCTTATGTACTTTAAATTGAACATGAACAAATTTCATATTCTGTAAACTAACATGACCGCGTAAGAAATTAAGTGACATTGAACGATACACATCAAGAAGAACAATCTGCATGCTCAATGATATTTCTCTCATGCAAAAAATAGTCAGCATTTTGCTATGTTGAGGATGTGAGTGTGGTATGAACATCGATGAAGCTAAAGAGAAGATAAACCTGCACTATATCCCTTTCAGACCATTCATAAAAAAAGATATTGTATAAACAATCTTAAGTAACAACATTTAGAATGATTATCACAAGAAATAAAAACAAAAAAATCTTATTGGCTTTTGTCTTTTCAAATATATTATAGCATGAAGTATTCAGAAATGTGGCGATGAGCAAGGAACAGATGTGCATCGTGGAACTCAGAGAAAATTTTCATTTTTCTCAGTAAAAAATCATTCTTTCATTTAACAAGAAGAGCATAGAATGGAAAAAACATTTACATGCTCTCTTTGTTTTAAAAATTCGTATATGGATCATTTCAGTTCTCAGAAAATTTACCTTGCACATGCACAGTGTTTTTTTGTCTTTGTCATGTTCCCAAAGTAACGTCTCAGACTGCTAACTGCTGGATATATTAACTTAACACTGCCGAACGTGAGTCATACATCCAATCATTGTATCGGCAAGACTCCAAATAGACTAGTTAGTTCGTTTAGAACGAACTTATGTTTAATGTTGTCTACGAATAAATAAATTATTTAAAAAACTAATTAATTAAATATAAATTTTTGCTACTAATGACCAACATTTCTTTTTAGTTTGCACTGCGACTATTTATTATTATAGGGAGGACAATGATCAGTGTATGATTGCTGATTTTTTTCGACCAATCAGATGCTTATGCAACTGTCGAGTCGAGTTGAGGAAACAGTACGACAATAAGTTTCTTAAAAAAGAAAAGAATTGTATAATTTCGTTTCGAAATTATTTCTCTTTTCTAATATTCTTCATAAACTTTTTGTTCCATGCTTACATTGGTAGCTCGGATTAATATTTACTTTTCTTCCCAACGCATAGTCCGTTCTGTATTATCCAACTTTTCCATCTCATCGAATACTCGTCAATATCGTAGTTTTGAAAGTCAACCAGCATACTCACAATCTAGTCATTATATAGTTAATCTCCATTCTTGGAAATTAACTCATCAACCACGAGAACCTACTCTTCACTGGAATCCTCGGTTTCGTCAACAACAACAGCAATTTGAAACAGAAGAACAAGAAGAAAATCAATCAAGTGAAAATTGGGATTCGTGGTTTCAACAACATCAATCACCTTCACTTCTACCATTTTCTCAACGAAATAATTTATTTTCTCAAGATCAACTTTATTTTCTTGATCATCCTCATTTGACCTCGATGCCTAAACGTCCGAGAGAATCCTCATCACCTATCATTATATCAAATAAACGTGAAAAATATTCACTTTGTAAGCATTTGAATAATTTATTTTGTTTTTTTTTTTTCTAAAATTTAAATATTCTAGTCGAACCTAGTCTTCCAAAACGCACATGGACCAATACAGGCTTTGAGGAACGTTTAATTCGAAGTCGTTATCATCATTTTAATTTTCATATAATTAGTTATAATATTCTGGCTCAAAAATTAATCGAAGATAATCCATTTTTATATGATGACTGTCTAGAAAGTAATCTTGAATGGAATCGACGAAAAGAACGTTTATTAAGAGAAATATTAAAACAAGATGCTGATGTATGTTTTTGAAAAAAATTAACAGAGAAACAGAATGTTCTATTTTCATTTCTTTAGATCATTTGTTTACAAGAAATGCAAAAAGATCATTACAAACATGATTTTCGACCAAAAATGGTCGATCATGGTAACAAAAACAAAACTATTCATTGACAAATTTATTAAAATTTTTATAATCTTTTAGGATATAATTCGATTTATATAAAACGTTCTGGTGATAAATCAGATGGATGTTGTTTATTTTACAAAACAGATCGATTAAAATTAATTGCCAGCAAAACAGTACCATTCTATCAAAAGAACATCCAAATTTTAGACAGGTAGATTTATTGCTGATCATGTATTCATATATTTAAAAAATTGAATAAAAAGTTTCTGAAGAAGTATCTCTAATTATTGAACACCGTTTAACCGCATGCAAACTAAGAAAAAAACTTAATGAAAGCATAATAAAGACTATTTTTTTTTAAACTTTTGAAACAGTAACATTTGTGAATAAGTATGCTATCAGCTCAACTGTTTTTAGAGTTCTCTTAATTTTATCGTATCCCTATCGTTGTCAAAATATGGTAGGAGTCAGTTGAAAATGTTTTCTCGTTCGAATTTCATAGTATGAATAAAGAATCTCTTTTGTTTTTCTAAAAATTGAATAATAGTTCAAAAATTTTCATATAACTTAGAGAAAAATATCAATCTATCTATGAATTTTTTCTAGAGACAATTGTGGTTTAATTGCTCTATTTCAACCAATTACATCGAATGCTACATCAGATGATTTATTTTGTGTGGCTACAACTCATCTACTCTATTCACCAAAACGTGGTGATATTAAATTAGCTCAAATACAATATTTTCTTGCTGAAATCGATCGATTATCAGTTAAAGATTCTCCTCTAAATTCTTATTATCCCATAATTGTCTGTGGAGATTTTAATGCACAACCTCATTCTCCACTTTCGAAATTTTTAATCAATGGACATATTAAATATGATGCATATCGTTGTATTGAAATCTCTGGTCAAATTCCACAATCAATTGTTAATAATCGTTTTTCTTTTCAACTTCCGTCAAATGAACTTCTTCCATCATCATTTGTTACTTCTGATTGTCGTTTTCCAAATGAAATTTCAACAAACAGAAAAGATCAACTGATTTTTCAAACATATATGAATCAAAAA